TGGTTTCCTCTGTGCAAACAGCTGATGAACAGGAACAGTGCGGCTGCTCTCAGAAGGATACGATGTCTTTGAAGTCCAGGTGGGGGAATCTCTTCTTCAGCTGAGCGGCTCGGCGCAGCGAGCTGGTGCCAATCACACTGCACAAACCAAGTCGAGTGTTAGACGTGAGAAAGAGTGAGCAGATATAAGAACGCATCGACGAGGTCCCTCTGACTGCACCTGTTCTCGGGCAGCGTGTCCAGAGTCTTCCCTGCATGGCTCGGGTGTAGCACCACTGCATCGTGGGGGTTTTCTCTCCTGTAAGACGCACAGATGACAACGATGCTGCAACGACCTATGACCCCAACCATTATTTGACTTATTGTCCCAAGAAAGGACGAGCTGGTGCTCTGCACGCTGCGTGGCCCCTTTGGTACTAATCCTAATCCTCGAAATAACTTGTTTTTCATCAATTTTAAACTGGCACAATGTAACTGCACACACTACACCAGGGTGCCCAGTCCCCGAGTTACCGTCCTGCAGATGCATCTTTGTTCTGACACACCTCAATCTAATGAATGGCTTGTTATCAAACTATTTGATGCGGCTGTGCTGAGTATGCATGCATCTACAAGCTGCAGGACAGTAGCTCTCGAAGGCTGGGATTGGGCCCCTTGCACTACACCCTTCACCCTGAATCAAAAGCATGACGTGGACCTTTGGAGTCATAAAAGGTCATCTAAGAGCAGAACGTATTCGATTAGCCGTGTGAAGACCACGAGGTGCCGGGTGTCCTGAAATGGTTCTGAAACGAGTAAATGCATCCAAAGTAAGTGTAAGAGTCAGAAGTGTGTGAGGGACTCACTTCAGCACAGCTCCGATGGTGAACCCCGGGGGCAGAGTGGTGGGAAGGTCTTTGAGGGAGTGAACAACCAGGTCGACCCTGCAGCACACACAGGATACGCACTCGCATGTATGAGCTCCACATTTACACTTAACCAGAGCCCACCTGCTACATCTGAGGCTCCTATCACAGTCTGCATGCACTTCACATGTTCCTGTGACTAACACCACACAGCTTCTCTGTGTTTTCTGTTGCAAAACTCTTGACACTAGCAGGTTCCTACACTGGTATCAGGCTGCTTCTTCTTTTAACCATTGAAATGTGCACATTTTACAGGCTGCTGAGTGACTATTCGAGCTGAGGGCTTCTGAAGAAGAGGAAATAGGAAGGGAGTGTGAAGCAGTGTCAGAGGTCACACTTACTCATTCCTCTCCAGGGCGTTCTCCAGCTCTTTGGTGAACAAGCTCTTCTCACCAATCTGCAGGAGACAGATTCCCATTAACTGCTTCACATAAATGAGCACAAGTCATAACTCCATGTTTGGTCTGCACTGTTGCTCATGGAGCAGCGACCTCAGCGCTGACAGGACTGTGTAGGTGGCAGCAGTCGTGTCCGTGACACTTCCTGAAAGCCTTACCTTTGACAGAGCAGTATCGAGGATTTTGTCTCCTGTTGTTGACATGGCAACTGGAACACAAAAGATTAGATCATGAGACGAGCCGACAGTAACTCACGCTGCACTTTTCCCACCCTGTAAGAAGGGCAGTGAACGCACCGTCAACGGACTGGAAACTAGTAACAAATGTAAAGACACAAAATGTTACCATTAATCCTGTTTGTCTGCACAATGGTGCTGTTGGTAATTTAGCTTTTAGGTTTCAAATCCTCAAATTTGAGAACTTTTTTCTGAGCATCAAAAACCTGAAAGTACTGGCTCTCCCTCCTGACAGGGATCTGTGAGCACTAAGCAGCATTTGTGCGATATTTGGACATCATGTGAAGCCGTTTTGTTCCTGCTGAACAGCTTTAATGCTGACTTCTTGCAGTGGGAGGGTGGAAAACAGAAAAAGTAGCGTTGCTAAATTTGGTAGCAGACTTACAGGTGGTGGTATCGATTAAATGTGCAGATCCATATAAAGACTGCTGCACCTGTTTTGTGTTGGTTGAGTCTCCAGAAAAAGAAAAACCCAGGAGAAAGTACTGAACATGAAAGTGACTGTCTGCAAACACTGAAATACTCTTTTACCTTTTAGTTACTGTTTTCTAAAAAGTTACAATTCCTCTTTATTCCTTTTTATTTGAATTATTAAAACAGAAGAATAAAACTGGCATTTAAACATGGTAATATTCTGGGCCAATCAAAATCACTATCAGTGCACGCCGCCTTTTAATAGGACGATATATTCAAAATCACTGCTTCTATGTAATATGATGGATTTACTTTGTTCAATAATTCCTGGCTTTTAGTTTCCATCTGTGGCTACGAGGCGCAGGAACAGTCGGACTGCTGCTCACGTTCAGTGAGGTTTTTCTGGAAACACGAGGTCACCAGCTGCTTTGAACAAACACACAAACGTCAGTGTGTTCAGTGCGGTGAGGATGGCGTGACAGCGTGGACAGATTCTGACTCACTTTTAAGACTTAAGCTGTAAGAACATGTGTGTGATCCATTCACTCTGATCGGGAATAGAAACATGGAGCCAGAGCTACAGACGCTGCACAGAGGCGCTGCCTTCTTACCGATCTCTAAGTGGATGTCAGGGTACAGCTCCTTCAACGTTTCGGCCACGCTGTCCGTCTGGATGCGAGCCAGCTGCAACAGAAGATCAACTCATTGCATTCACACTTATTAAATCAGCAGCACAGAGCAGAAGACAGTTATCATAAAAACACACTCGTCAGGCAGGATTATCTCTGTGGAAAGGAAGTCCAGACGCTTTCAAATCAGATAATTCACAACCGACACTCGAGGATCTGTAAGTTCAGCTTTACATTAGAGTCAAAGCTGCCTGAATTTGAAGCTCCTGATTGGATAATAATGTCACACTCACCTGGCTCTTGCGGGTTCCCACTCGAATGACTCGGCTAACTTTGCCGTTTCCATCCTGTCGGAACATAAAACCAGATCAGCCACAAGATTTTACAAACGCTCGCTCGCTTCCAAGATGTATTCCTCATGTGTTCAATCAGCACAACACAGTTTCTGACTTAAAGTACGAATGAATGACCCCTCTCTGCTGGCCTCACCCTGATGTACTTGTAAGGTCCTTCCTCCATGATCCACACTGAGCTTCTGCACTGTAGAGGCTATTGTGTGCGCTGTGTGTCTGGGACTGACTGCTGCGTCCTGGTAAGGAGCTTTGCTGAGGTCATATAGCCTCTTGATACTAAACAGTGTCCTTTCTTACTGGACCCAGCTGACTCCTCCCCCACTAAGGACCTCCACCTCTCTGGTTCCCACAGATAAGTGTGTCTTTTCAATGAGTCCGTTACAAAAGGCAGTTTAGGAGGGTCCTGGTTACAGGGTGTGGTCACAGGGAAGAGTGTGGGTGGAAACGTTCCTCTTCAAACACAGTTACAGA